AGATATCTGTGTTTTGTTTTTTGTTCTTGTTTTTCAGACAGGGTTTCTCTAAAGCCCTGACTGTCCTGGAGCTCACTGGGTAGACCAGGCTGACCTTGAATTCAGAGATCCCCCTGCCTTGCCTCCCAAATGCTAGGATTAAAGGTGTGTGCTGCTACCACCACCACTGGGGTTTTTGTTTGTTTGTTATTTTGGAGACAAAATTTCTCAATAGTTCTGGCTGACTATTACACACACACACACACTGTGTGTGTGTGTGTGTGTGTGTGTGTGTATATATATATATATATATATATATATATATATATATATATATATATATGTTTGTTTGTTTTTGGATACAGGGTTTCTCTTTGTAACAGCCTTGGCTGTCCTGGACTCACTTTGTAGACTAGGCTGGCCTGCAACTCGCAGAGATCCACCTGCCAGAGTGCTGGGATCACCGGCATGCCCCACTGTGCCTACCTTCTGTTTTGTTCTTTAATAGTTTTTATGGCACATGAACTAATACAAATATTCTCTACTTTAAAAAGAATTTTTAAATTCATTTTTTGTTCTGAAATGGGGTCTGTATAATAGCTATCTTGGAACTCACTATGTAGACTAGGCCAATCTTGAACTCATAGGGATCTGCCTGCCTCTGCCTCTTGAGTGCTGGGACTAAAGGCATGTACCACTGGCTTTTAACCATTCATTCATTCTTTCATTCATTTATCCATCTATCTACCTTATCTATTTTTTTTGAAACAAGGTTTCTCATACCCAGCTTTCAGCTATTCATTCATTCATTTATGGTTTTTTGAGACAGGGTTTCTTCTTTGTGGCCCTGACTGTTCTAGAATTGTCTCTGTAGATCAGGCTGTCCTCAGTAATCCACCTGCCTGTGTCTCCCATGTGCTGGGATTAAAGGCATGTGCTACCACCACACAGCTTTTTTTCTTTCAACTTTTTATTTTTAAATTTTGTTTTTTTCTAATACTAGAGATTAACCCCTATCCTCATAAATGCTAGCAGGTGTTACAGCACTGACCCATAGTCCGAGTTCCCTCATTAGACCTACCTGCCTGATTGAACTGATGTTTTCTTCTGTATTAGAGATTGTTGACAGTGTTTTCCAAAACGACCTTCTGTATCTGCTAGTATAATTCCATGTGTCCATGTCCTTGAAGCTAGGACATTTGCTTGGCAGTTCCCATCTCCAGCTTCTCATTCAAATGAAGAAAGATCTAAAACTTTGTGAGTTAGGTTACTGATAAACTAGTTTGTGGCTCGATAAGACCCAAAATTGTTGGGTAAAGATTTTTGAAATGAAAATTAAATGTGATTATAAATATGAGCTGACTTTATCCAGCATGAGTTGAAGTATTCCTAAAGAATATATTCATGGGGCTGAAGAGTTTGAATATTAAAAAATAAAGATTTACTCTCCCAAACCAGGAAAGGTCAGGTTACTTTTTTAAAAAATATTTGTTTACGTAGGTGGCAATTTTATGTCAGTTCCTCAGAGAAATTGACTACAAAACAGCCTTCAAGTCATTGCAGGAACAAAACAGGTATGTGGCTTTTTTGTTTGTTTTTTCTTCAAGCATAAAGCTGAAGTTTTTTTGCATAAGAAGTAATAAGATTCTGTTTTGCAGCCATGACGCTATGGACTCCTACTATGACTACATTTGGGATGTTACGATCTTGGAATACTTGACTTGTATCCTTCTACCAGTGCATGTGATAGCACAGCAGTTCATGTCTGTTTAAAGCAGTATTTCACAGAACATTTTCCATCTAAAATAGAAACAGTTCAGAATTTTAAATAAAAATTTATCATGTAATCTTTAATTACTTTTGTGTGTGTACACATTCTCAGTGCATGTGAATCTCACACACATACCCGGAAGACAACCTTGTCAGTAATTTTCTTCTGCCATATGCGTCTTGGGGATTGAGCTTTGGTCATCAGACTTGGCAGAAAGCACTTTTGCCTGCTGACCTACTTCAACAGCTTCAGACAGTTGAGATCCTACCATAACAATCAGTTTTATTATTCTTAACTGATATATTTAGATCTTCATCATAAAAGAGGAGAAACAGATAAAAGACAAATTGCAGTAAGTTGCCTTATACCTTTCCTCAATAATGTTTTCAGAATTTTCATCTCACAGGGTCCTTACAGTGGCTTACTAATTGCTTTTTCCCTTTGCTGACTTCAATACAAGTATCTCTACTACTGTTCAAACATGTCAAGAACAGTAATTTTCTAAGGACCTTTGACATTTCTTATCCAGGAACATTCAGCTTCCTTGAGGTTTCTGCTTTGCCATCTTAATGGTTAGCCTTCCCTGGCCATCTTATAAAATAATCGGCCTCCCACCACCCTGTTATTCTCCTTTTAAAGTTTTTCTCTGTAACACCAACATAGGGCCTGCTATATATTTATTTACTGTTCTTTGAGCTCTTGGCTTGTTCATTGATAATTAGACTGATTCCTGGCATATAATTGCTGTCAAACAGTTACTGAAAAAGTAATTTATTTAAATTTGATTTAACACTTCTAATTTTATGTGGGTGTATTCTAAGATCAAAGGACAACTTGAATTAGTCTGTCCTTTTACATAACTATGTGAGTGTCAAAGATTGAAACTCAGAATATCAGCTTTGGTAGCAAGTTCCTTTACCCACTGAACTATCTTGCTAGCCCAATATTTAAAATTTTACACCCATCATTACTTGTCCAACCTGTGGCAAATCACTACAGCTGCAGAATTTTTTTTTAATCATTAATAAAAGTGTGTGCTGTTAGTACCTTTTAAGACATACTTGGTTGAAGTTATATGACTATTATTTAACACTCCTAAAAATAGTGAGGGAAATAAAGAACATGAAGTTAGCCCGTTTGATTGAATGCTATACCTTCTCCCATTTTTTCTTTTTAATGGTGTACATTGAGTTTGTAGTGTTTAAACGTGGGCGTGCGTGTGCTGTGATGCACGTGGCAGGCAAGAGGACAGCCTTGGGTGTTGACCCTTGCCTTCTACCTTCAGACAGGGTCTTTTGTTCATTGCTGGGTGCATCAGACTAGCGGGTCCGCAGGCTTCTGGAAAGTCTGTTCTCACCTTTCATCTCTCCAGAGGGACATGCTGGAATTACACGTGTGTGTGCTATTGTGGCCAGCCTTTATGGTGATCTGGGAACCTGAACCTAGGTCAGGCGTGAGTGGGTATAGGGACAGATATTTAGAACATAGGAAATGTGTTGCTTTAGTAAAATGGTGGTTGTAGAAGTCTCCTGGACAACCTTGACCACTAGGTGTCACTAGATGTCTTTATTTTTAGACAGGGCCTTATATGTAGCCAACCTGGAACTCACTATATAGACCAAGTTGGCCTCAAATCCAGATACCATCTGCTTCTGTGTCTTGAATGCTGGCATTAAAGGTGTGCACCACCACGCCTGCCCCTTCTCCAACTGTATTATTTTTAAGCCATCTTCTCCTTTAAAGGTTCTAACTTCATGTTTCATAAAGTGTATAACTACTTACCATCTCATTTAGCCTCCTGGTTCTTCAACATGCATTGAGAAGTATGGGCTTAGCCTTTACCCCCACAATTTAGAGGCCTCTTTCAGCCAGTTTTACTAGCTACCTTTACACTCTTCTTACTGTCAGGTGTTTTGTGTGGTCTTTCTACTATAACCCATTATGCCCATAGACTTTTCTGCCTTCTTTGATTCTGTGCGTCTCAAAATTGGGTTTGTGACCCTCACTCCTGTTAGCCCCTTCCAACCACCTTCCTTTCCTATAAGTACAAATACTCAAGCTCAGCATTACTGATAGTCAGACAAGGCTTTTTAATTCATTTAAGTTTTCCAGGTTGTCTGATATTGAGCCAATATCAAAACATAACTTGGTAACGAAACAGGTCTACTGTTGGAATTTAGGTTTGGATTTTTCTTCTGGAAAAGCTCTAACCAGTGATCTGTTTTTTTAAAAACCCTAACCATACAGACTTGCCACTTCCAAACCAGTGTCCATTTTTGCCCATTTCCTTAGCTCCTTTCATTGTTTTATCTCATTAGCCTAAACATTCTCTTTATTTATTTATTTATTTATTTTTTATGGACATTGGTGCTTTGGCTGCATGCATGTCTGTGTGAGGGTGTATCCTCTGGAACTGGAATTACAGACAGTTGTGATCTACCTTGTATGTGTGCTGGGATTTGAACCTGGATCCTATGAAAGAGCAGTCAGTGCTCTTAACCTCTGAGCCATCTCTCCAGCCCCCTATACATTCTTTTTAGTCTGTGATCTTAGTTAATTACTAGATTCTTAGGTCTCAAAATTTGTTTCCATTAGACACTCCATAGCAGAAAACCACTATGAATGTTTAATAGGTCATGGTGTTTCTAATCAAGAAAAACTGAGCCATAGTACACTTCGTACTGCTGAGTACCTAGCTATTTTGCACGTTTATAAAATAAGATTTTGATTTTTTCCAAACTATTCTGTTGGAGTCTTAGTTTAACTATAAAGGATGTCAAGTAACTAAGGACAGGTGTCTTCTACACAATCACATAAGCATATAGGAATTCATATAATGTAGTAAAATGTTTCTCCAGGTAAGAAATCTTAAGAGTAGATCGTTACAAGTTATGCTAATTTTTTTCTGTAGCACTTAAATTTTACAATTCAAACTTTGACTTATATGTACTAATTTTTTCGGCCAAACTTTTAACAGTACTTTTCTGTTTAAGATCAAAGCCATTGGCCAAACAGAATTGAATGCAAGCAACCCTGAAGAAGTACTACAGCTGGCAGCACAGAGAAGGAAGAAGAAGTTTCTACAAGCAATGGCAAAACTTTACTTTTAAGCAGTTAGTTAATTTTTTAAACTTTTATTTTTTAAACAATGGGCTAAAAGTAAACAGTATTAAAAGGTTAAGTTTATATAATACATATGTACAATTTAGTGGTGTTTTCTTTTCAGACCAAAACAAAAAAAAATTATAAACAAAAACTTTTAAAAACTTCATATCTTAACAATAGCTTATAATTTCTTCAAAGAGAGAAAAAGTTCACATGTCACATGTCTGATAATCTGGTACCACTTTTTTTCTAATGAGATTGACTTTAGGCCCAAATTTCCTTTTCAAAGGCTAACTTAAAATATTTAATGTATAAGTAGCTATTCTATATACAGAAAGTTTAAATAAATAGATTTCTAGAGTCAGTATACATTTAATATTTTTCCGCCATAAGAAAATAGAAGTTTAGGTCACATGTTAGGTTACCATGCTAACATGGTCCTCATCCATAATATGGGGCTTAAAAATGGACTGCCAGTTCTGCAAACATAAAAGTCTCAGTCACACTACATTTTTCAAACATACTTAGGGATAGCTTAGTATAATAAAGTGACTTTCTTAATATAAATAGTTTACCCAAATTGTGATACACAAAAAGATTATAAAGCAAACTTTCTATCAAGAAAAACCCCAGAGCAGAAGCCAAAGCATTTATCTTGTTTATAATTTCTTTGGTTCTCCCATTGTTTAAGCACAGTTTAAACATCTGGTTCAGTGCCTTACTGATTAAGAAACATTATGGCAAGGCAAACAAACTAGTTAAAAACAGATTGAGCTTCACCATTTGTAAAACTTCAAGTTTTATCATTGTTTGCTACAAACAGCTTTAGTCACTTTATTACAAAACAATCTTTGTAAATAAGTTTAATTTTTATTTTCAAAAAACAAATTGCACCATTCAAGAGTATAAGAATTTAAGAATCTAACATTTAGATTCAAAGTTCTGTGTCAGCTAATGTATCCTTTAAGGTAGCACTAGTCTGGTCCATATTCCAATGATAAAATTCCTAGTTCATCAAGAGAAACACAGTAACACTGGATTTTAAAGAAACACAGTAACCAACAGGAACAATTGCTATAGCATAAACTGTTGCTGGCTTCCATCCACTATCCTTGGGAGTGATGTCACCTTTGTAAACAAATCTTTTCTTTCTTGGAAGTTTTTGTTTTGTTCTTTTGTAGTGCTGGGGATTTGAACCCAAGGCTTCATGCATCCTAGGCATTTAGTGCCAAATTGACGTAGTTTTTAAATAAAAGAATGGCAGTGTAACTCCTTAGTAGGCAAGGATAGCCACAGCACTGTTTTCCTGTAAAACTTACTCATTTGTATGAAACCATCCAGTATTTGCCCAATTCCCATTTGTTGTTAGCTTCAATATTGTACTGGTGGTTTTTCAGTGCTCTTCGGTGGGGTCATGATGCCTCCATTACACACTGGTGACAGCTGCCCTCCTTTCCTGAAGGTGTTCACACAGTTGACTTCATTCTGTACATGTAGGGATTATTCAATAATCAACAGTTAGGATAAAATAAGTATATGTGAAGGTAAAACCAGACTTCTATCTACTCATTTGAGGCCATGTAAGTCTAATTTAAGAGTCTCTCTTAGCTGGGTGGTTGGTGGCACACACCTTTAACCCCAGCACTGGGGAGGCAGAAGCAGGTGGATCTCCTGAGAGGCCCGCCTGGTCTACAAAGCTATTCCAGTAAGATCTTGTTTCAAAACAAATGAAAATGTTTCTGATTTCTTATCTGGACTGCTGGTATTGATATTGAGCTGCTTTACAGTTAATATTCATGAGACAGGGTCTTACTATGTGGCCCAGGCTGTTCTTAAACTCATGATCCTCCTGCCTCAGCGGCCCTAGTGCTAAGATTATAAGTCTGTGTCACCAAGTTTGCCTCAATTTTATTTTCTTTATATTTTAAAATCAGTGTGCCCATTACCTTCCCCTTTATCATATTTTTTAATTGTTTGAAGTATCCTCTCCATCACTTTCAGGGCCTAACTACATAGCACAAATTAAAAAAAAACAGTGAAAGAAATGCCACAAAACCCCAAAACATATAAAACAAAACAAACAAACAAAGAAACAAAAAAACCATACCAGCAAAGCCAAATAATTTGTGTGTGTCTGGATATTGTGTCTGTCTTCCATGGGTATCTTCTTAAAAGTCTTCAGCTTCACTGGACTTACACTTTTTATTACACTGACAAAGGGCACCATCCAGTCTACACATTCTGAGATGTCATCCCATTCCAAACCTAGATTTAAAAAGTTGATAAAGTGCTTAAGTTACACACCAGAAACTACTTTAATATGCCTAATGTACTTTGTTCTGTTTCCAATTTTTTTTTGTGTATTTGTTTTTAAGATACAGTTTCTCTGTGTAGCCTTTACTGTCGTGGACTCTCTTTGTAGACCATGCTGATGTTGAAGTAAGAGATCCGCCTGACTCAGCCTCCCAGAGTGTTGGGATTAGAAACTCCAAGGACATGATTACACATTTATCAAACTATATATCTATTTTTTTCCATGACCTTAAAGCAGAATAGAATTGATAATTTTCTTAATGCTCATTCTGTATCCCAGAGCTTGGCTTCCCCGCTGGCTCAGCTTCCCAAGGGTTGGGATTACAGGCCTCATCTGATTCTCTTTTGGGGTGGTTTTTCGCTTGTTTGGATTTAAAAAAGAAAAAATGATTTATGATTATGTTTGTGAGTATGTGCACATGAACACAATGCCCACAGAGATCAGAAGACATACCCTGGAACTAGAGTTACAGGTGGTTATAAGCTACTTGATATAGGGGCTAGGAACCAAACCTGAGTTTTCTCTAAGAGCAGTATGTGCTCTTAACATCTGAGCCTCTAACCTCCGAGCCTCTAACCTCCAGGCCCACTTCTGAGCTTTTTAACAGTGCCTATTCATACAAAGTAGAATTTTGCTATTTGCTTTAAATAGATTTGATTTCCACTTGTTTTCACAAATACTTTTTTTGTTTGTGGAGATAACACTAAGAGCTGTAAAGCACTAACAAACAAAAAAAAATCAGTAAATTGCTAAACTGTAGCTAGGTGATAAAAGTTCCTATAGTTCCATGAAAAATTGTGAACAGGTAAGAAGTCAACAAAATAGTCTTACCTGAGGCTTTCTTAACTACTTCAATGGAGGTAAAATGGCATAAAGCTGCAGCAGCTAGAATTCTGTATTGGAATTCTAATGAGTCGATGGCTAGAATACACAGATCTAAAAGCTAACAAGGAAAAAGCAAGTGTAAGTAACTTAAGAGAACCATGAGTATGTCCCTACTTTATTGATAACTCTAAAGTAGTATGAGAAGGGTGGGTACTTCATCTAGATTGGAAAAGCTAAATTAGTTAACAAGCTAAGCAGGAAGATTGGTGGGTAGATGTTTAAGGTAGAACATTGGCAAAGGTAACACTTCTTATTATGAAATAATCAAAGAACACCTTCCTTAACCAAGGTGGGCAGTGGAGAGCAAGGAAAGCTAGAGCTAGATTAGTTACATTATAAAGGGTTTTTAGAATTTGGAGCACTACTATTTAACTGTGGGATTTTTAAATCCAGGAAAGTTACACTTTAAAAAAGACAGTAAACTGGACAGACTAGAATGCAACATTCTTAGCATCAACTAGATAGTTAAGTGGTATTATCTTATTTTGGTGCATTTTCAAAATTTTGAATGGGGATATCAAACAAAAGATACTAGAAATATTTACATCTTTGTTGACTTGCAGATATAAAACGCAACTTCTAATCCAAATGACTTAATACTCATCACCAAATGCCAATTTCACATCCTACATAGAATAAAATTGAAGGTTTTCTTCACATTTACATATGGTAGAATTTGCAGCCTTCAGACCTTATATTGACAAGAATGGGATCCTCAATCTCTTTAGTTTGTTAGTATATGTTACAAAATGTGTTATGCTGGTCTAGGAAAGTTTAAATAAAATAAAATTAAAAACCACAGGCCAGGCACAGAAGTACATGGCGCCTTTAATCCCAGCATTTGAGAAGCAGCAGTATACTATTCCCCCTGTAAGTTAAAAGCAAGCCTAGTCTAAGACAGCTAAGGCTATGTAGAGAAACCTTGTCTTGGAGGGGGGGAGCCTAAAGTCAGCTGGTTGAAAGCATTTCTCCCCATTTTATATCAAAAGGTATTTAATACCCAATACTAAAATACTCATAAAAGTTTAAGATCTTTCTTTCCTAGAATTATTTAGCAATGTAAATACTAGGAAAAGAATTTTATGTGTCAAAAGTTTCTCTTGTCAATTCAGATTTAACTCAGTATGCCATTTTGCTGTGTAGTTCAGGACTTAATGTATACATTGAACAAATCTGTGACCAACAATAACATTAGCTAGTATATGTTCAGTAACAGATACCTGAGCTATCTGGATGAACGTCTCCTGAGAGTACTGAGGTAGAAGAACCTTAGGAACATCTTTAACAGCATCAACTTGGAGAAAAAGATTCAACCAGGAGATGACTGTTACAGGACAAAGTTCCCATTTTAAAGCCTGTCAATGAAAATTTTAAATGCCCATTAATTACAACATAATAGGTATATAGACACATACATATACACCTCATATTATGTACATAGTAGAGTTAGAAGTTAAGTGAATTTCCTTACTGACCATCAATCAATACCAGTATTTTGCTGCATTAACCTTTTAGAATTGTATACTAAAACCTCAATTTTGGCTTCTTGAAATTTCGTTCAAAATTATTTATTTTGGGGGTGGGCTTATGCTGTGACTTATATGTGGAGGTCAGAGGACAACTTTTTACACCATGTAGGTCTCCCAGGAATCAAAACATTGCCATGCCTGAGTGGCAGTAAGTGCCTTTAGCTTGACGAGTTATCTCTTTGGCCCTTAAGTTTAGCTCTTTGTTATATCTGAGGTTCACTCTTAATTACTATAATGCAAAGTTGCAACTAAGAAAGGACATTATTACCTTTAATATAGAGAGTTCCATCTTTAAGATATCTACTTCACTGCAAGCACCATCAGTGACATAAGCAAACTCTTGGAGTTTGGGAGCGTAGATTTCCTTTAATTTAAAATTTTTTTTATTAAGCACAATTTAAATAGAAAGAATTGTACACAGATTATATTTAGGCTTCAGTTTAAGGATAGCTTCACAAAGTGATTATAAATCAAAACCATACATCTTAAGATTTTTGTGTGTGTAGTTATCTGTGGCTAACTACTGATTTTCAAGGTTTATTTGCCTAGAGTTGAACTTGTACTTTAGTTAATAAACAATGAGTACCTTAATCTGTTATTTCAATTAAATAAGAAATAACAACAACCTTTTTAATACTATCTAGTCTGGTGGTCAGACCAGAACAAGACACTCAACAAATAAGGTTTTGGCCTGGGGATGTGGCCCATTTGGTTGAGTCTTTGTCTAATGTCTAGAGAGTTGGAAGCAAGAAAATCAAGGTCATCTTCAGCTGCAGAATGAGTCTGAAGACAGCTTGGGCCACTTGGACTGCTCAGAACATCTCAAAACAAAAATAAGGTCCAGAAACGAAACACATTTGATTAATAACACAAAAGTATATTAATCAAAAACTACTGAGCTTATTCTTGCTTTAGTAACATCTGTACTTTAAAAAAACAAGGCCAGGTATGGTGGCACATGTTTTTTAACCCCAGCCTTCAAGAGGTAGAGGCAGGCAGATCTGCGAGTTTGACATCAGTAAGTTCCAGGCCAGCCAAGGCTACATCCTGAGACCCTGTCTCAAAGCACTTGCCAAGGAAGGGCAAGGCCCTGGGCTTACATACAGGGAAGGGGAAGGGAAAGAGGATTGTATTTTGGCTGATAGCAAATTTGTCTTAAAAGTCAAGAAATATGGCTTGATTCAGTGTCTTGAACAGGACAGGCTAACTAGTTTCAGAACCAGAAGATACCTTTTTATAAGGCTAAAAAGATAACATTTGCAAGAAAAATACATACTTTGGGATATTAATGTGCTCATAATCCCTCAAAATTATTTAAGCTGTGAAGAGTATTAGTAACAGCCAATAGGGTAATAGATTACATATTTTTGAAAGTTTGAGGCAATGAGTTTTCTTCTAAAATGGCACCAACATTAGACAGGAAAATATTACGCTGGATAGACCATTATTGTCACCCAACATAACATTTCTTTCATTTGTTTAGGTTTTAAATACCATTCTTTTGATCTTAGGTGCTACATAATTATGTAACAACACTGATAGATTACATCTGGTGAAATGAGCCATTCTATTCCCAGCATCTAGAAACTAAAATAAGTGCTTATGATAATTTCTTCCATCCCTATTATAATGAATTAATTCCTTTTCTCTAAAGATTAAATTCAGAAAAATGACAGTATCCTAAGATTAATGTGTTCATTTAAAACTAAGTTTATAGTAAATATATCTGGATGAAATTTAAGAACTTACCTCAAGTTTGGAAGCAATGAACAATGAGGTAATCCCAATAAGTTGAAGTGTATTTTTATTTACATCCTTCTGTGTCAACATAAATCTGTCAAAGAAGTCTTGGGCCAGGTAAAATGTCTCCCTATGAAGTGTGTATACTTCACACACCTGATGAAACAAAAATTCAAATATTTCCAGAATTCATCCAAATTACAAAGTCATCTTTGTTATACTAGATTATAAACTATTTTGAGGCTAATTTTTGTTTTTTAGGATGCCAATATTAACCTGAGGGATTAGCATGGACTGATTTTATTGCAGGCTAATATAGTAACATTGGTAATAAAATCTTTTCATGTTTTTGGTTTAATGGGAACTGCCCTCCTGTATCACTACTGTTGCTAATGAATACTGCCATTCTCACACTTAAAGGAAAGTTTAATTTTCAACGATACTCCACAAAATGGGTGCCATTGTCTCCTCTTTGGAAATGAGAAAAACAGGACTAATAGATGAGTTTGAAGTAAGCACTAGGTGTGTTAAAAACTATTCTGTTCCTATCTTATGCCATTTTAAAATCAGGAGTATGATGCCTAGAGAATGGCTCAAAGAGCTTGTACTAGTAAGTAGCACTGGAGTCTAGGCAGCTGAACATTGCTAATACCCTCAGTGCAAGATCTGACGTTCTTGGGCATCTGCACTCACATTTACAGTTAAAAATAAACAATGAACCTTTCCTTTTATACATTCTTAGACTGAAAATATTTGTGTCATCGTTCAAAGTAAAAACTTTTAGTTAACATAAATCTAACTACATTGATGCCATTATCACTAGATGTTCAGAAATAGACCTTATGCTCAATTTTCAAATCCTCCAAATAAGTCAAACCCAACAACATTATCATCCTTTCTATGATAATCTTTAAGGACAATGACCTGATAACAACCTCATTTTATAGTCTTGGAAACATTTCTGAGATCTACCAAAAGGTCCACCCATAGTCTTCCTCCCTTAGAATGAATCTACACCCTCCCAATATTAAGGATTAAACACAGGCCTTCATCATGTGTTAGTGGCAAGCATTTTGCCACTAAGCTACCCTGCCCACCTGCCCCTTATTTTCTTTTGAGCCACTATCACCGTAACCTACCCTGGCCTGCTTGAAATTTGTCATTCTGCCTCAACCCATCATCTCCTATCAGACTTAATATCCAGGGTTGGAAGAAAATCAGTTTAACATCAAGTAATTGTTTGCTCAGCAATTATTGGAGGAATTTACAATACTGAGAAAGGGAATGGGCCTAAATAAGAAAAAAAAAAAAGTTTGTCCAGATTACTGATACTCCTTTATATCGATGACATGGTGTATTTTTCTATTTTGAGGTGAGGTTTCACTATGTAGTCCGTCTGACCTGGAGCTTGCTATTAGGTCAGGTTGGCCTTAACCTCCTGATCTTCCTGCTTCAGCCTTTGTGGATTATAGGCCTACACCACCACACCCAGAGGTATAGTGCATTTCTGAAAGGAACAGGAGTACATTATAAAAGAAGCTAAGTGGGATTTAGAGGGCTTAGGGCATCTGGGTACCCAAAGCCTCTTTGTTAAGGGCATAAGACCAAAATTGATGATATGGTTTTGATAATCCAGGAAAAGGATATCTTCAGGCCGGGGAGCCTAAGCTGATTCTTTGTATGCCCCTATGTAAAACCTAAACAAGCCATTCACCTTGAGTACCCTCAACTAGAACCAAACCTAACACTTGTCAGGGATTTCTGATTTTGGTGTGGGTTGTATCAAAGATGTGTTCTTAGGATTTTAGTCCTTGCTTTGGTACTGAGGACACACTACCATTGAGCTATGCCCACCAACTTCAGATTTTACTCTTTTAAAAAAGGCAGTTTGGCCTGGGGTTGAAGCTCAGTGCTGGTCTACAACACACAACACCCTGGATTCAGTTCCAGCACTGCAAGGAAAACAACAACAAAATCACACTCTACTTGAGGTGCCATAAAACCACACTGGTAGGAGCAGAGGACTCTGAAGTCACCACCCATACAAATATTTTTCTGTCAGACACAAAAGATACTTTGGTTTTTATAACATACCTCTAAAAGCCAGTCTAAAAGTATTGACCTCATCTGTGGTTCCAGGTCAGAATGCAGAAGTTCAAAATGTTTGTCATGCACATATCTGCTTTCCTTTTGTAGCATATTTAGCCAAACCTCCTGTGAACATCCCCAGCTACATGGGGCAAGGGAGAATACATGATTTATGTTTTGTGATCTATACAAGTTCTGCTTACAATAGCATAAATCCAAGTTTCAAATATCCAACTCTGTCTTACAATTACAAATAGAAATAGTAGCTCTTGGGAGACAACTGAAAGATTCCCACCTTATTGGAAATTAGCATCCCTGAAATTTACCAATTTCTTATAATTTATAAAAGCTATTGTTTAAGATTTTAAAAAATGCTTTTTTGGTTTTTTGAAACAATGTTTCTTTGTGTAAAAATAGCCCAGGATGTCCTGGAACTCACTCTGTAGACCAGGATGGGCTTGAACTCACAGAGATCTGCCTGCCTCTGCCTCCTGAATGCCAGGATTAAAGGCCACCACCCAGCAAGATAACTCTTAAACACTAGAAAAATATTTAAGGTTTAGGATCACAGTGATAATTAAGTCCCAACACTTGAAAATATAAACAGCATCATTTATAATGAGGTAGAAAGAAGTATCAGGCATAGTTATGACTTATTTAAATATCTGGCTCCATTAATTTGCTTATTCAAGTCAAATGTCAATTACTACATAAATGTTTTGTGTAAGCTATACCTCTTAGTCATATCATAATTGATCATCAGCTTGGTAAGGAATAAGTAGGATTAATAAACCAGTTGAAACTGCTGCCCATTTAAAGTATTCCTATTATAATTAGACAAATTTGAACTACACTAAAAAAGTAGTTTAGTTCTATTATGTCTGGAAGCACTTAACAAGCAAGTGAGAGAGTCTGGGTTTTAAATATATCACTCAGTATCACTTGCAGATAATATTGTCTCATGTAGAATGAATGATAAATGCCTACTTCTCAGTAAGTTAAGTACTAAAAAACAAACAAGTTTCCCTATTTTATAATGAAGTCAAAATACAAAGCATTATTTTAATTCCACCATTTTAACCATTAAAGTTATTGAAAATTTTTTACCTTAAATCTGGCAGAGGTGAGGGATTAATAAAAAGATTTTTAAATCTGTAATTTGTAAATCTAGAGAAGTCACTTGTTTCTATTTCTTTATGGGGTGTTTCAATGATAATGCAAGGACTGATTCCTCCAGACAGTACAGGTGGCCAACAATTCTGTCATTTCAAAACAAAAAGAAAACCCTATTAGTACATCAAGAAATCTTGACTTTTGTTCTGATTCTTCAAATAGTAGCCAATTTGATATTCATATTTAAACTTTAAAGCCATACAATTCATATCAGTCTTCATAAATGACAAATCCTGGTAATACAAGACATTAAGTACTGAAATAACAAATGTATTTGTAATATAAAATAATTTAAAAAGTAGTTCTCTGAATCTAGAAATTTTAGCAGAGATGCCTTTAAAAAAATAAATAAAAGCCCCTTTTCTAATACTTGAATCCAAAAACCTTAAAAAAATCAGTCAAGTAGTCAGTAGTCACTTAAGAGAATCTTTTTGAAAGAATTACCATCTCCAAGTGAACACATAGGAAGAAGGGGTCCCAAAGCCTGGGTGCCAGGCTGTCAGTGATCCCGCATCCTTGTTATGCCAACTCAGTAGCTATTGGGACCCTCCACTGTAGGCTGAAAGTGAACAAAGAGCAGTATATAGGCGGGCCTTGGTACACCAGCCAGTTCCAAGAGGGAGGGGTTTACAAAAAGGAACTTGCTGCTTCTAGGCCAGCTACACTGCAGCTGAGGAGTTGGGCGTATATAACCCTTCCTGTTACCTCTGAGATCTTTAGACTAACACATGATTCTACTCTTAGTCTTCCCCAGCCCACCCAGTCCAATGCTGCATTACCCTAATCTCATACTGATGCTTCTTGGTGATCTCCTCTTTTCTTTTTTTGACATCCTGGAGAACAGAAAAGACCATTGTAAACTAAGGTCCCAGCAAGGAATTTCCTCCCTCCCTCCCTCATTTTCCTTAAATCACCTGTGTTTTTCTCTTCTTGGCCTGAATTATCTGTGGAGATATCTGGGCTTCTTGTGGAGAGTCTGGCTGGTTGGGCTGGACATGCTGTTGCTTAGCTTGTAAACGGCTACTGTGATGAATTTTAGAAAGGAAGTTTAATTAGTAAGTCTTGTATCTCAAAGGCAGCAAATTTTGAAACATGTCTCCAAGACTAACAGTGTTACCTGCGTCTCGACATTCTCTTTGAGGCCTATGAAACTTCTAAATGGGGGAAAAGAAAAACCAAAATCAGGAACACAGTCATCCAATTTTCAAGTTCCAATTAAAACTGATTCACAAATTAACAGCTAACCTTCAAAAAAAATACACTACCTTCTGAAATACAATAATTATCTCAATAATTTTACATTCATGCTTCCGTTTCCTCAACTCAATGTAAGTGCATTCGGGATTTGCAAAGTACCCTAGCACCCTTTAGATGATCTTCTGGGCCATTTATGCACTCCCCAGTACAACCAGGGTGGGAAAGGCACGTCCTGGACTCGGGCCCGCCAGGCGCCTGGACGAGCGGGCAGTAAAGAAGCCGGTTCCGCGCCAATTTGGAGAGCGCCAGTGGCGGGGAAGCAGGGGGTGGAGGGAACGGAGGCTGGTGTCACGTCCTCCAGGCTCCTTTCCCTCCTTCCCAGCCCCACCCGGCGGGCAGTGCCGCTTGCAGGGTTGACGGGACCCCAATTTCAGAAGGAAAAAAATAATAATAATTAAAGAAGGAAACTGCTCCAGAATTTGTCCTCCGTAAAGGTATCCACACCTCCATCCTCTCACGCGGGAGATCTTCCCCCGATGAGGGTGGACAGGGAAACTCCCAGAGCAGCTTTCCCGTGGCCTCTCATGTGGGGTCACCCTCCATCCCTGGCTCTCCTTGGCCTCCTGACAAGGATCCTGACAGGGAGCGACCTCGGGAACCCCTGAACCCCTGTCTTCTAGTTCGTGCCCCCGCGCCCCCCGTTTCCCTCCGCCACAGCTCCCGCCTGCTGAGGTCCCTCGCCCTCCCGCAACCCCGCGGTCCCCAACACCTCCTCACCGCCAGACCCTCTACAGCTCGGCTCAGCTGGCGCCGGCGCCAACTCAATATATAGGCCTGGGCCGGCCCGCCCCGCACGCATGCGCCTCACACTGACACCTCGGCCGGCGCCCGCCCCTCCCCCGCCCGCGCCCGCCCAGCTCGCCCGCGCGCGCCGCGCCCTGCCCTCAGCGAGCGCGGGCGCCGAGTGGCTTCGCCGCCC